AAGCCTTTCAACTAGGAACGTGCAGAAGAAGCCGCCTGAAGACTGATAGGAAGGTCACAGACTCGGAACGGTCTGGTCCCACACCCGCGTGTGACCATTAATGACCGGGAGGGCTATTTTGGCTGTGGGGGTACCCCCCAGCCCCCAGAGGAGTGATAAATCCCACCCCCACTCCAGCCCAAGGGTCCAGTGCCAGGGAGAGAAGTCCCCATAATTTCTGGTTATGAAAAGCAGCGGAGAATGGACTGACTGAGACTGAGTGCAGCTGCACTTACAGGTGCTCCTCTTAAAGGGACTGCGCGGACTTACCCACCAACGGAAATATTCGTTCTGAGCTCCAGCGCTCAGGCAGCAGCAGGAGAGGCGGCAGGGACAAATGGTGGGGAACTGAGTTGTCTGGCTTGGGACGGGGTCTGGAGAGGTGGCTTTCTCCTGGATCGGGGAGCTGGCAGAGGCCATTGTTTCTTTGTTGAGCCCTCCCCTGTCCCCCTGTGCGAACAAAGGCGGCCGCCATTTCTGAGTCTCTGCTGTTTGTTTGCCGCCCTGGCGATTTGAGACCTGGCCCCGCCCAGCTTTCCAGCACACCCAGGCTGCTTTCAGTGGCTTTTTCGTGCAGACTGACTGCCTTGACTCAAGCTGCAAAATTTTCTGGGATCTCTCAAAGGTTTGCAGAACCCAGACAAGCGGCATCTGGCTTGAGCGTGTCCTATACCTCTGGCTGAGCAGCCCTAAGCTGGCACTAGCAGCAGCCAGCCTTGGTTTGCGACTTTGCCTCTCAAGGCGCTTCCAAGCACAGCATGGGCAGCAGCCATCTATGGATTTCTCAGTGGCTCCTGCTGGGTGGCCCCTTGTGGGGCACAGGCTGTGGCTGAACTTTGACCTACAGTGGATTCCCTCCAAGGTGGTCCTGGGGTGGTTGCCCCCAGTGGCCAGCTTCAAAATGAGCTGGAGCATCACCCAGCCTCCTTCAAGGACGATACACCCAAGGGGCGGATTGGGCAGGCACCAGGGTCCTGCTCATGCAAATCCTGCTCTGTAGGGTCAGCCCCTGCACAACAACTCTTCCACTGTAGTCATAGCCAGTCCTCACAACCAGTGAGCCCAAGGGTCAGTCCCTCACATTAATGGCAATTATCAACCAAGGCTCAACTACAAAGGAGGGTTCACACAACCCACACAAGGGAACCACCTGGAGCACGTGGCTCAGGTGACCAGAAAGACTGTGCCACTGAACCCCACAGCACACCTACTACATAAGGCCACTGTACTAAAACCAGAAGACACAGCAGCCGTATCTAATACATAGAAACAAACACAGGGAGGCAGCCAAAATGGGGAGACAAAGAAACATGTCCCAAATAAAAAATAGAACAAAGCTCCAGAAAAAGAACTAAGCAAAATGGAGATAAGCAATCTATCGGATGCAGAGTTCCAAACACTGGTTATAAGAATGCTCATTGATCTCAGGGTGAACTTCAACAGAGAGATAGGAAGCATAAAAATGGAGATGGAGACCATGAAAAAGAACCAGTTGGAAATAAAAAGGCTACAATAAGGGAATGAAGAATGCATTACAGGGAATCAACAGTAGAATAGATGAAGCAGAGGATTCAACCAGCGATATAGAAGATAAGGTAGCAGAAAACACCAAACCAGAACAACAAAAAGAAAAAGGAATCCAAAAAACTGAAGAGAGTTTAAGGGGCCTCCGGGACAATATCAAGTGTACCAACATTCGCATCATAGGGGTAACAGAAGGAGAAGAAAGAGAACAAGGAATTGAAAACCTATTTGAAGAAATAATGACAGAAACTTCCCAAACATGGTGAAGTAAATAGACATACAAGTCCAGGAAGAACAGAGAGTCCCAAACAAGATAAACCCAAAGAGGCCAACACCAAGACACATCATAATTAAAATGCCAAACGTTAAAGATAAAGAGAGAATCTTAAAAACAGCAAGAAAAATCAGTTAGTTACTACAAGGGAGCCCCCATAAGACTGACAGCTGATTTCTCAACAGAAACTTTGCAGGCAAGAAGGGATTGTTAGGAAATATTCAAAGTGGTGAAAAGCAATGACATACAACCAAGATTACTCCACCCAGCAAAGCTATCATTTAGAATTGAAGGACAGATTAGGAGCTTTCCAGACAAGAAAAAGCTGAAGGAGTTCTTCACCACCAAACCAGTATGACAAGGAACCTTAGAGGGACGGGGGGGGGGGGGGGGGGGGACTTAAGGATGGGTGAAAGGGGAAGGGATTAAGAAGTACAAATTCGTTGTTATGCAGTAGTCATGGGGATGTGGGGTATAGCATAAGGAATATAGTCAATAACATTGTAATAACTAGGTATGGTGCCAGATAGGTACTAGATCTATCGGTGTGATAGATGGGAATGGGGTTGGGAGCAGGGTGAAAAAGGTGAAGGTATTAAGAAATACAAATTGATAGTTAATACAGAATGAGGAACATAATCAACAATGTTGTAAGGATCATGTAAGGTGCCAGATGGGCACTGGACTTATCAGGAGGATCATTTCATAGACTGTGGATGCCTGAACAATGTGCTATACACCTGAAGCTGAAATAGAATAATATTGAATGTCAACTATAACTAAATATATAGGTATATGTAGTCACGGGATGTGGAGTATAATGTAGGGAAGATAGTCAATGGTATTGTTACAGCTATGTGAGATGTCAGAAGGGTAGTAGCTTGGGGATGGGTTATCACTTTATGAGGGGTTTAAATGTCTATTATGTGGCTTTGTACACCTGAAACTAATTTAAAAAAACAGAAAATGGGCAAAAGACATAAAGAGACATTTCACCAAAGAGGAATGTACAGATAGCTACAAGCACATTAAAGATGTTCCCTAGCCATTAGGGAAATGCAATTAATACCACCCTGAGAAATTACTACATACCTATCAGAACAACTAAAATAAAAAATAACGACAACACCAAAGCTGGCAAGGATGCATAGAAACTACATTGTTGATGGAAATGTAAAATGCTATGACCAATCTGAAAAACAATTTGTCAATTTCTTCAAAAACTGAACAGGCAACTACCATAGTAGCAATTACACTCTTGGTATTTATCACAGAGAAATGAAACCTGATGATGAATATTCACAGCAGCTTTATTGATAAGAGCCAAACACTGGCAACAACTTAGAAATCCTTCTGCCAGTAAATCATTAAACAAACACTGTGGTACATCTACACCAGGGACTACTACTCAGCAATGAAAAGGAATAAATTTTGGTACACACAGCAACTTGGATGAATCTCGAGGAATTATGCTGAGTGAAAAAAGTCAATACCAGAAGGTTACATATTGTATGGTTCCATTACATAACTTGCTTGAAATGACAAAATTATGGAAATGGAGAACAGATTAGTGGTTGTCAGAGGTCAGCGATGGGGTGGCTATGTGGGTAAGAGAGGCAGATGTGGCTATGAAAACGCAAGAAGAGTAGTTTGGTGTGATGGTGAAGAACCCAGATTCTGGATTCCGTCATCTGGGGATCGAGTCCTAGCTCACATCCCATCTGGGTAAGGTAACCTTGCTAGTCCTTAATTTCCTTATGCCATGTACATTATAAGGCTGTTGTATAGATTGGATAATACGTGTAAAGCTCTTAGCCTAAGTGCCTGGCACAGAGTAAGCACTTAATACATGTAGCTGCTGTGAGGGTGGTCAGGATGGAGAATGGGGATAGTGGGGAAGAGGGGGTACTGAGTGATTTAGGCAAAGATGTTGTGGTACAGAGGGGGCAGTTATCCCAGAGGCGAATACACCTGAACTGAATCTTAAAGGATGGCTGAGAATTAGCTAGAAAAACAAAGGAAGAAAATGCATTCAGGACAAACAGAAGAGCATGAACAAGGCATAGGAGCGTGAAAGATTATGTATGAGTATATACGGTAAAGCAATTTGGTATTAATAGAACTTCAAGTAGGTATGGAAAGTGAGAGGTGACTGGAGAGGCAGGTAAGGGCCAGGCCATGGAAGCTGTTAGATGTTTTTCTGAACAAAAGAGCGAAAGAGAAGAGAATGATGTGCTCGAATTTGCATTTCTAGCTAGCTCACTTTGCAGAGTGAAGGATGCTTTGAAGTACAGGGCCTACCTGGAAGATGTCTTTACTAATTCATTTGGGAGACAAAGGCTAGAATCAGGGCCATAATAATTGAAAATGGAATGTCATTCTTGTCCTTATTTCCCATATGAAAAACTCCAGTTCAGTGGGTGCTTGGAAAAGCAGGTTACCCTCAGGTTGTCAGGTGTGTGAACGTGGAAGTCTTATGCATGAGGGCCCTATTCAAATCGGCTGTGGTTCCTGTAACTCAGGCTACTTACTAGGACTGAGTGGTCCCTTCTATTCTCTAGGTTAGATATGACTTCTTATCATCACCTAAGTCAAATATATCTACCTAATAAAAAGCTTACATTCTTTTTTCTTTTTTTTTTTAATGAAGCAAGGTGGGACAGGAATGGATAAAGCAGAAAGAAAAAATAACTAAGAAGTATATCTAAGAAAAAGGAATTTGAGTCCAACCTACATTTGCCAAAATATTCTCTTCATCTATTTTCTCTTCTTATTTATGAAGGTTTAAAAATGTTAATCATAATTTTTTTCTTGTATAAAGCTAAAAGGTAAAAAAAAAACAAAAAAAAAAGAATTCAGTTATGTTGTATTCGCTATTTTATATTCTTCTGTGCCATCTCACTTCCTGCTATGAGAAATAAACTTCTAATTGTCCAAATTTTCCATAGTGCAAATCCTGTGGAAAGGAGCTGTATGTAATTTGTAGACTGCATTGAAGGTTTGAAAGCACAGCTGACTAAAGAGTAATGTTTTCATCTTATGAAAGACAGTACTATTTGTTGGTGTGTGCATATAAGCAACCATTAAGATACATGTAATTCATGTGCCATACAGCTCACCAATTTCAAGTGTACAATATAATGGTTGGTTGTTTCTTTAACAGGGAAAAAAAGATGTGACCCAGATATTTAACAACGTCCTGAGAAGACAGATAAGCACTCGGTGTCCTACTGTGGAGTACATTAGTGCTCACCCTCATATCCTGTTTATGCTCCTGAAAGGGTAGGTACATGGTTTCCTTTAAAGTAGGTTTGAGTTTAGAATAGTTGTTAAATGTATATAGCATTAGCCTCATTTCAGATATGATGGGCTCTCTTTTGGAATCTCTTTTGGAACCATGCTTGGGGTCCGCCCTCCAAATCTACATCTCCATGATTACTTAGGCCACAGCAAAATCCTTTTTTTGCATCTTTATGTTTCTAAAGTTCCTTCCATTTACTGCCTCTTCTTTCCTCCACTTTCCTCTTATCTCTTGTCTCTTCCTATTTTATTATTGCTTGTACCTCCAATCTGCCCTTTTCCTAGCTGCCCAGTACCCTTTCCCTGATTTCATGAGACCAAATCCCCTAACCCTAACCCTCATTTACACACACACACACACACACACACTCTCTCTCTCTCTCTCTCTCTCACTGTTCTTCCAATGGCCGGCATCTGCCAAGGTGACATGCTTCCGCATGGGGATAGAATAAATATTACCATATGTATATGGGACCATAGGGGAGCCCTAACGTCTAGCCAGATAACAGAATCCCTGATTTTTCTTTTTTATATGTATACTTATTTACAGATGTGTCTTGGGCATTTTGAGGCTATTCCAACTTCTACCAGAGAGCTGGAGGTAGACTCCAGCTGTCCTCTGCCTCTCTTTCCCTATCTTTTTACTCTACCATCTGAGATCTATATATTATATTGTTTCATACCTAGTCCATGTAATCTGTGTTTAATTCCCAATTCCTGTCTTGTACATTTTTAAACATTTAATTGTATCAAAGTAATACATAACACATAGTTTCAAAAGCAGATATATGATCAAGTAGTAGCTCTTTGCTTCTTCCTTCTCCATTCTTCAGTGTTATTGCTCAAAGACAACCAGTTTCATCTTTATTTGTTCATATTTACCGCTGTATTTCAAGTAATGGGCCTATACTAATCTTTTGATTTATCGATTTTAAAAACTATCTTTTGACTTTCTCATAGGCTAGATGATAATTTAGTTTTTCCACCACCACCATTATTCCATTTTCCTTCCCCTTATCCTTCCAATATATTTTATCACAATTTTTTATTTTATTAAAAATCACATTTATATTATTATGACTATGCAATCGTTATTCATTGTTGAACAAAGTAGTGTGTTATGATTACTTTTGGTACAAAATCTTGTTTTTACTGGCGAATTATTTCTTTCAGTTCTGGAAAGGGAACTATACTTGTATCATATATTAGCTCAGGATAAACTTATAACAAACATTAAACTTTATAACAAATAGACCCCCCAAAATGGAGTGGCTTCACCACAAGATAAGTTTATTTCCCAAACAGTGCAGAGCAAATGTTCTAGGTCACCAGGGGGTTCTGCCTTCTTTAACATGTGGTTTCTAAGATCACTTTGTTCATTGCCATTTCAGCCCACGGGAAGGCAAAAATACAAAGGAGGATTTATGAGCCAGGCCTGGAAATGGCTCGTGTTCTCCCATTCACATTCCATTGGAGAGCGCTTAGTCACTTGGCCCCTTCATTCTTAAGGCAATCTGAGAAATGTACTCCAGTGCCCAGGAAAAAGAGGAGAATGGATTTCGATGCACTGCTAACATTCTCTGTCTCATATTGTTCCTTTGAAAGTTTCTTCCATTTCATTTTCCTGTTTTCACTTTCTAGGTCTCCTATTAGTCAGAGTTGAATCTCCAGTATTTATTTCTTATCTCTTCTCTTTTCTGTTTCTTGTCTTTTGTTTTACTTTTGGAAGATGTTCTTAATATTATCTTCCATTGAAGATAAATGATTGAATTTTTATTCAGCTACCCTATTTTTCATTTAGAAGAACTCTAACTGTTCTCTGAGTGTTCCTTTTCCTGGTCTCTTGTACTTCCTGGTTCTGTGACTGTGGGCATGTCACTGCCCCTTTCCAAGCCTCAGTTTCTTTATAAAATAATACTAAAATGTGTAATGTTACCTTCACACAAAAATAATGTTGCATTATACGCATTGTCAGAAAGACCTGTCTTTTCAGTCAGCGTTCTGCTACTTACTTGCTGTAAAATGTTGGGCAAGCTATCTCACATCCTCAAGTCAAGTCTTGGTTTCCTCATTGCAATATGGAGATAATAATAATGCTTACTTCAGTAGGTTGTTATGAACCTTCAAGGAGATAATGCTAGCAAAGCACAGCACTAGAACATGGTACTCAGTAACTATCAATCTAAGAGATTCTTATCCCTATTCCTCTTAAGAGCTGCAATTCATGTTGAAATATATGTACAATTGTAAACAGATATAATCGAGGCCATATGTAAGTGCCAGAATAGTATCTATAAAGCAAAGTTCTCATTTCTGGCTCAGGTTGATTTGTAAGGTTTAATGGACCCACCAATATCTGATCTGCATGACTGGCCATTGGTGGATAGGCCAAAATGATCAGTTTGTACCCACTTCTGGAGATTATAAAATGTTAAGCTAAAGCATTTGACATTATCCTATAGGAAGTGGGGAGCCACTGAAAAGTTTGGGGGGGGGGAAAGAATGTTAGATTTGTGTTTCAGGAAATGAAGATAAATTAATAGCAGTTTAAAGTTAGCTTAGAAATAAATGATCCCTTGAGAATGCTGAAATGTATAATCCTAAAAAATGTTCTGGAAATCATGTCAGCTGATGGAGAAGAGCAGTGGTGTGGGTGACCTAAAATGGTACCTTCCATGGCGGGGTCACTGTGCGAAGGGATGTGTGCAACTCTACGAGCTTCATTCTTAGAGTGGGAATTACTGGTTTGGAGGATGTCTTGTAGCTGCTGTCATTGAATAGCAGTCAGGGGACAGCAACTACATTGTATTTATTTTGTGCAGAGCCATACCAGATGCTAGTGGCTGGCTGAAGACGTAGATTTGGTATGTTATTACCAAGGGAGTTATAAACAATGGAAAATTAATGCTGTTATGCTTTAAAAACTCAGATTAATGAAGAGGAAAGGCAATTCAATAAATTACAAAGTGTGGTTCCAGGGTAATTTAAAATTAATTCCATCCCTTTTTATATATGATAGAATATATGTATTATGCATTTATACATTATATATGCTTTGTGGAATAGAAATTTAGCATAATGAATATTTTGAAAATTAAGTTGGTGAAGAAGTACAACTTACATTGAAGAAAACAACTTTATTTTCCCTTTCTAGAAATGAGACAGACGATAACTAATTCTGATTGTTATTTATTAAATATTTAACTGCTCTAACATATATACAGATCAAGAGTGAACCTTTTTTATTTGTGATGTGCACAGGAGTTATTAATGTGCAGTTGTGCCCTATTTCTCCCACCCTTTACCCCTCTTTCAGTGGAGAGAGTTAAGAAAAGACATGGCGATGGGAAGCCAGGCAGGTGAACTAGACTAAGCTAAGTGTTACGTCCACTTGCACAAACAAGATTTGGAGATGAGGAGGAGGGAATCAGACAGAGAAAACCCACCGTCATCAGGCGAGGGTTTTAGACGTTTAATAGTGGGACGCTCCAGAGTAGTTGCACAGTGAAATGGAGAAGGGAAGGAGTTTGCTGTATTTATCAATTTATAGAGAAACATATAAAGATTGGGCTCTCTTTTAATAACTTTTTACTGCTGGATATACCAAAAAAATATATACACATTTTAAGAAAGGAAAAAACTGTACTAAAATTACGCTGATGGTAACCACTTTGAGCACCTCTTGTAATTGCAGAAGCCAAAAGTGACTTGTATTTATCTTTTGTTATTGGTATATATTGATTATTACAATTAATACAGTTTTTTCCTGTCTTAAAATGTGTATACAATTGTTTGATGCCTTTTATATTTATTTATATATGACTCTGTAAAACATGTGGGGCCTTGGCTTATTAAAAAATAGGATTACATATAAAGTTTAATGAGTATGAATAATCAGCATATCTTTATATATCTTTATAACTTTATTTGAAATTATGTCTGTGTCCTGTTTGATGGTGAATTTTTTGATAAATTAAAATGACTACTATTCTTATACAAATGATTTGATTCAACAGGTCATTCAGTTTTTAAACAAACTTAAATTGATGTAAGTAGAAACCTTCCTTATGTTTGAAATATGAATCCTTCTATTTATTAATCAATGACTTGTATTTACCAGTATCCTATTTTAATAGATAATTTGTAATAAATAATTATATGTCACTTTTCTGTATTTAAGAAAAAAACTTTAAAAAATATTTTTAAAATAGCTTTTCTTTATTTTTCTAATATATGGAAAAAATAATTGAAATTGATTAATTAAAAAACCACTTTATTACACAGATTTCTAGTCTAAGAGTCCATTTTTGTATAATAGCACACAATGGAAAAATAGGAATTGTTTAAGCAAATCTGATTCATTAGGAAAGTTTTATAAAATATCTTTATTTTTTCTGAAAAGTCAATATTTAGTTTAGTTTGTAACGCTAAAACTGCTTTTTATTTCATTTATTAAGAGCCTACAATAATAATATTGATGATAATAGTAATAGTGACAATAGTAGTTAACATATTACTTACTACATGTCCGGCCTTGCTTTGCATTTATATAATAGTCCTGTAGTTATTGTTGTTATTATTATTATTCCCATTTTATAGATAAGGACACTGCAGCCCAGAAAGGTTAACTAACTTATCCAAAGGCACCTAGATAGTAGGATTTAAGTCCATGTAGCCTGGCTCCAGAGTCTGTGCTCTCAGAACTGCACTATGCAGCTTTCCAGTTCTCAAGCACTAAGAATCTACAGTGAGAAGAGACAACTCATTACAGCTCACTGTTGTTACTGGTAAAGTATAGTCTATGGGAGCACAGACGAAAGAGCCATGATCTCTGCCTGGGATGTCAAAAATGAAGCAGATCTTAAAGTAGAAAATTGCCAAATAGGCCCAGAGCATAAAAGAATTGGGGACCTCCCGTGCAAGGGTACAGAGGCATCAAAATACACAGTGTGTTTGGAAGATAACAATGCTGGTGTGGCTGG